CGGGGGTGGGGGTGGATGTGGGTGTCTGGGGTGTGTGTGGGTGGGTGCGTGTGTCTGGGGGCGCCTCTGTGCGTTTCTGTGCATGCGCCTGCCTCTGGGTGCCTGTAGCTTTCTTCGCTAGGTCAGTATCTGAGGAGGAGCCCTGCTCCTGGATCAGCAGAAGCGGCGAGGAGTCCTGTGGCACCTTATAGACTAACCGCAGTGTTGGAGCATAAGCTTTCGTGTGCAAAGACTCACTTCGTCAGATGCATGCAGTGGAAATTCCCAGAGGCAGGTATAAACATGCAGGCCAGAATCAGGCTGGAGATGACGAGGTGGATCCAATCAGGGAGGATGAGGCCCGCTTCTAGTAACTGATGTGGAGGTGTGAATACCAAGGCTGTGTCCGGACTCAGGGTTTTTTTTTTTTTTTAAAGTAGCCTTTTTTCGAAAAAACTTCACCTGCGTCTAGACTGCAGCTGCGTTCTTTCGAAATTAAATCGAAAGAACGCGACTTTTCTTTCGACAGCGGTAAACCTAATTCCACGAGGAAGAACGCCTTTTTTCGAAAGTGCTCTTTCGAAAAAAGGCGTTCTATAGGATTAGGATGACAAAAGCAGCTTCTCCTCTCTTGGTATTCACACCTCCAGATCAGCAACTAGAAGTGGGCCTCATCCTCCCTCATTGGATCCACCTCTTCTGGCCTGCATATTTATACCTGCCTCTGGGAATTTCCACTGCATGCATATGACCAAGTGGGTCTTGCCCATGAACACTTAGGCTCCAACACTTCGGTTAGTAGATAAGGTGCCACAGGACTCCTTGCCACTTTTGATAAGATAAGGAGTCTTGTGGATAAGGGAGAAGCAGTGGATGTGGTATACCTAGACTTTAGTAAGGCGTTTGATACGGTCTCACATGATATTCTTATCAACTAGGTAAATACAACTTAGATGGGGTTACTATAAGGTGGGTTCATAACTGGCTGGATAACCGTACTCAGAGAATAGTTATTAATGGTTCACAATCCTGCTGGAAAGGTATAACAAGTGGGGTTCCCCAGCGGTCTGTTCTGGGACCAGCTCTGTTCAATATCTTCATCAACAATTTAGATATTGGCATAGAAAGTACGCTTATTAAGTTTGCAGATGATACTTAGCTGGGAGGGGTTGCAACTAATCTGGAGGATGTGGTCATAATTCAAAATGATCTAGACAAATTGGAGAAATGGTCTGAGGTAAACAGGATGAAGTTTAATAAAGACAAATGCAAAGTGCTTCACTTAGAAAGGAACAATCCGTTTCACACATACAGAATGGGAAGCGACTGTCTAGGAAGGTGTACAGCAGAAAGGGATCTAGGGTTCTAGTGGACCACTAGTTGAATGAGAGTCAGCAGTGTGATGCTGTTGCAAAAAAAGCCGACATGATTCTGGGATGCATGAACAGGTGTGTTGTGAGCAAGACATGAGAAGTTATTCTTCCGCTCTACTCTGAGCTTGTAGGTAGGCCTCAGTTGGAGTATTGTGTCCAGTTCTGGGCACTGCATTTCAAGAAAGATGTGGAGAAATTGGAGAGGGTTCAGAGAAGAGCAACAAGAATGAGTAAAGGTCTAGAGAAGATGACCTATGAGGGAAGGCTGAAGGAATTGGGTTTGTTTAGTTTAGAAAAGAGAAGATTGAGGGGGGGACATGATAGCAGTTTTCAGCTATCTAAAAGGGTGTCCTAAGGAGGAGGGAGAAAACTTGTTCATCTTGGCCTCTGGGGATCGAACAAGAAGCAGTGGGTTTAAACTGCAGCAAGGGAGGTTTAGGTTGGACATTAGGAAAACGTTCTTAACTGTCAGGGTGGTCAAACGCTGGAATAAATTGCCCAGGGAGGTTGTGGAATCCCCATGTCTGGAGATATTTAAGAGTAGGTTAGATACTATCTAGACCATCCCTGATAGACATTTATTTGGTCCTGCCATGAGGGCAGGGGACTGGACTCGATGACCTCTCGAGGTTCCTTCCAGTCCTAGTAGTCTATGATTCTATCTGTGTCTTTGTGTGTGTGGCAGATATGAGCACCTGTCTGCATACAGGGTGTGTGTGTGGCCAGCGAGCGTGGCAGATGTGTGCAGGTGAGCATGCGGTAGGCGGACGTCTGGGTGCGTGTGGCAGCTGTACGCACAAGTAACCAGCAAGTGCAAGGCAGGTTGCATCTGTCTGCATGTGTGATAGGTGACAGGTAGGTGAATGTCTGAGCATGTGGCAGGTCGTGTGTGTCTGTGCCCGTAGCAGGTGAGTATGTGCGTGTGTGCCTGTGGCAGGTGCATGGCACATAACACCCGTGTATTGCATGTGTACATCCACACACTAGCCAGCGTAAGGGAGTCCTGTTGCTGGTGTGAGAATTTACACTACTCTAGTGTACCCATTAAATATTGTTTATGTGGTGCCTCTGTAACTGATAATGGATGTGATTGGTGTGCAGAGGGCTAAGAGCAGTTGGGGAAGTTGTGAAAGCTAAGACCTGATGTACACCTAAAACATAGGTCCACCTAGTTATCACTCAGACACGTGAATACTGATGTTATTAAAGTGATGTAAGCCCTGGGGTAGACACTACTAGGTTAATAGAAGAATTCTCCCCCAACCTACCTACTGCTTCTGGGGGAAGTGAATTTATTATATCGATGGGAAAAAAACCCTTTTGTGACTTTAGTAAGTGCCTACACTCCATCATCTTTTTTCCTTTCGTCCACCTCTAAATTTGTATCTCAGGCTTTCCTGCCAAAGAGGCCTTTCATGCTCGTCCCTTTTTGTCAGTCAGCCAGGAGCTAAGCTCGTAAGAATGACCATATTTGGTCAGATGAGTGGTCCATCTAGTCCAGTATCCTGTCTTCTGCCTTGTTACTTTGTTTGGTGAAAGATCTCGTGAAAGGCATTCTGAAAGTCCAAATACACTATACCCAGTGGATCAGTCTTGTCCACATGTCCATTTAGCCCCCTCAAAGAATTGTAGTAGTTTGGAAGGCATGATATCCCTTTATAAAAGCTGTGTGTTTCTTCTTGATGGACCTTAACTGTTCAACGTGTAGATACAAAACGTTAAAATAGAAATGTGACTTGGTTTTCAGACAAGAAGAAATCTAAGAAACGTCATTACGATGATGACGATGACGATGAGGATGAAACTCCTGGTAAAGAGTCTCAGGAAGCAGTTCCATCTGCCGCAGGGAAGCAAGTGGAAGAGTCTGGGATCAAAGAGGATGAATATGGGGCAAAAGATTATAGACACCAGATGCTTCTAAAGGGCGATCATTGCTCACGTCCACTCTGGGTGGTAAGTCCCATCAAACAGCTTTGTAAAAGACTTCTTGTGTGTGTGGAAAATTACAAAGGAGAATGACGGGTAATAGCGTGCAGCGGCTTAGGTGTGATTTTGAATTAGGTAGACTAAGGCTTTGTCTACACTTAAAAGTTTAAAGTGCACCTGTGACAGCACTGCCAAGGCACCACTGGAAGTGCTGGCCATGTAGAGTAGCTGTAGCCTGGTTCTAGGAATGTAAGCAACTAGTGGACTAGCCGATAAGAAAATGCTTACCTGCAACTAGGGACTCGACTAGTTGCTTCCCGCAAGGGCGGGGAGCAGGAGCCTGTGCTCTGGGGAACTGTCTCCACCGGGGGCGGAAAAGCAGAGGCACAGCGGGACACAGCGAGCTGGGATTGCTTTAGTCCCTGCTCACGCTGGTTCCCACTGCTGGTGTTCTGCTTTTGAAATGTACAAGAGTGCTGCAGAGTTCTTGTACATTTCAAAAGCAAAAGTGCCGTAGGGGCCATGGGAGGAGCAGGGACTCAAGCAGTCCCGGCTCACCCCATGCTCTCTGCTCCCCCTCACCCCCCGCTGCCTCGATGAGAGGCAACAACGGTGGGACAGGAGCCGATGCTGGGGGGAGCCGACTTAAAAGCTGGTTCCCCCCAGCATTGTCTCCGGGGTGTTGCTTCCCCCACCCCCACCGCCGCCTCTATCAACAGCAGTTGGCGGGGATAGGGGACGCTGTTGTTCACGGCAGCCAGCGCTGGGCAGGGGCTGTTTAGGCAGCAGTTCCTGTCCGTGGCCAACCCTGGCTGCTGCAGACGGGGGCTGGTGCTGGAACAGAAGCTGCTCCTGCACCAGTCCCTGTTCCCCCTGATCGCTGTGCCTCTGACTTTTAAATGTAGTAATAGTCCAGTGGCTCTTACTACATTTAAACTGCAGAGCCATAGCGTGGGTGGCTCCGCAGCCACCACGAGCCAGGACTGCACAGTCCCAGCTTGACTCGGCTCCTGGAGCTACCCCCACTGCAATTCTGCAGAACAGTGCCTATTGAGTAATCGTATAGATGGTACAAACTATCGACTCTACGATTAGCCAGATAATTGCATTTTAACATCCTTACCTGGTTCACACTGGCACTTTACAGCAATATAACTTGCTGCACTCGGCAGGTTGTGTGTGTGTTTTTTCAAACTCTTGAGCCAGAAGGTTACAGTGCTACAGAGTACCAGTGTCAATTTAGAAAGGGGCATAGTGAAGAAGAAGCTTTTGCTTAAAAGCTAAAAATTACAGGTAAACAGTGAGCAGAACATAAACAGTGAGACAGTCTCTGCCCTAGATTGCTAACAACTGGTGTGGGGCGTGATGAATTGCAGATCTAAAAGAGTGATTCTGGTTGTTTAGAGAGATACCTTTCTCTGTAACAGGGTACAAATGAGGTTTGAGGTGAAAAAGGTTAAAACTGAGAATCTCCTGCAATATTTTTCCCCAGAGAAAAGATAGGTGTACAGGAGCATTCGAAATTCATTGTTGGATGGGGAAGAGTGTCTGGTTTTTCCATAGCTGGCAGGAAACAAACCTGAGCAGAGTTGTGATTGCTGCAATTCTGGGGCATCTGGCATTTGTCATTTCTGGACAGCAGGATACTGGGCTAGATGCACCTTTGGTCTGACCTAGAGTGGTCATTTGTATGTAGAATTCTTAGCTATTTCAAAATATGCTTCACATACTGCAATCTAGTAGAGGCATAGTAGGGAAAAAGATAAATTGTTGCAGGTAAACAGAAATTGTGGTGTGAGTTTGCCAGTTAAAAGCATTCTGAGCAAACGTTACAGTCCTAGTTTAGAATAGCCTGGGAGGATATGTGCACAAGAGGATGTCATTTCAGTGATCCGCAGAGTTAATCCTTTAGAAAATTCTACCTGCTTCAGAAGTTAAGGGGTTGATAATGGTATTTTCAGAAAAAGTTGGGGTGAAGTAGGGCAGCATGCTGACAGAATCTGTGCATTTCAGACTAAACGACAGAAGAAACAAATTGTTAGGATAATTGCAGAAAACAGAATGTGACTTTTACGTGGTGAAGTAATTTGATTTCCTATATTGGAATAAAGCAGTTAGCATAGTATAGACTGTAATACACTGCCTCTGGCAGCAGCTTGTTTCTTCTGTATGAAGGGGAATGCAAAGAAATGTGACCAAAATTGGGCCAATTGTGAAGGGGAATTTTGTGGGAGAACCACCCAATCAACCCTTGCAGGCCATCTGTTTATGCCCTGAAACACGATGTTTGCTTTCCTCAATAAGAACATAAGAACAGCCATACTGGATTAGACAGATGGTCCATCTTCCCACTTTCCTGTCGTCTGACAGTTTCCAGTGCCAGATGCTTCAGAGAGAATGAGCAGAACGGGGGTGGGAGGTGGGAGGGGTGTAGAGATAAAATCCTGCTTAACTGGTTAAACGTGATGTTTAACCAGTTAATTGATTAAAGAAGGGGCCATTCTAGCTCAGCTGGGCTGGAGCAGTGCGTTCTAACTCAGCTTGGCCAGAGCAGCCCCTGCCTGATATACCCACACCCCCCTGCCACAGGCAGGGGATGTTCCAAGTGGCTGGATTAGCCCCTGCCTGCGATGTGCTTGGGCCCACCATGAATAGGGGCTACTCTTGACAGCCAGAGCAGCCAGGAGGGTCCTGTGGGGCTGGAGAAGCCCTCTGCACAACAGCGGGTAGGGAGCTGCACCAGCACCAATGTTCCCTCCAACCCTTTCCATCCATGTGCAGAATAAATTTTGTTATGTACAAGAGAGCGTGTGCAGATGTGCACCACCAGTAGAGAAACCTGCTGCTGGCTCTGGACACTCTGGGTGCTCTGCTGATCAGCTGGGCTGCGTTTGAATATCTCCTGGGCCCTTACACAAGCACTCAGCTTTTGGGGAACAGCGTCCAGCACCCACCCGTTAACCAGAACTGGTACGCATCAGCTGTTAAGGGTGATTCTTATCCGTTAGACTGTCCCTGTTTAGGGATATGAAAGGTTATCCAGTGGACCTGTTGTGCAGTCCAAGCCTCTGGCAATCAGAAGTTTTAGGATACCCTGAGCACAGGGTTGCCTCCGTGACCATCTTGACTAATAGTCATTGAGGACCCTGTTGTCCATTAAATTATTTAATTATTTTTTGAATGCAGAGGGATTAATTAAACGAGTGGTCCCGTAGCAGCTTAGAGCAGTGGTCCCCAACGCGGTGCCCGTGGGCGCCATGGCGCCCGCCGGGGCATTTATGTGCGCCCGCCGACAACCTGGGC